GATTTTGGACATTTGACCTGCGAATCGAGATTTTGACCTTTCTTTCTGACCCCTGATATTTGAGTCTGAACTTGCAATTTGTTATCTTCGTTGTGGTAGTAACCCGGGACAAATATTTCCTTTGCAATTGAAAAACTCTTACAATGAGAAAAATCAATATCTGTCTATAGCTCTGACATATGAGGTATTATGATTACTTGCATTATTTACATTATTCGGACTGTTATCCTCATCTTCATTACCATATTTACAACGTTTCAGCCGTTGTACGCTCTAGCCTTCTTCAGGTGATTGGATCTCTGGGATGAGGTATTATGATTACTTGTATTATTTACATTATTCGGACTGTTATGCTCATCTTCATTGTCATATTCACCGTATATGTCAATTCATTTCGGCTGTTGTATACTCTAACCTTCACCAGGTGACTGGATCTCTGCGATGAGGTATTATGATTACTTGTATTATTTACATTATTCGGACTGTTATCCTCATCTTCATTGCCATATTCACCGTATATGTCAATTCATTTCGGCTGTTGTATACTCTAACCTTCACCAGGTGACTGGATCTCTGCGATGAGGTATTATGATTACTTGTATTATTTACATTATTCAATAGAGTTGGTCAGTTTGGCAATTTCTGTTTCAGCATCGGTTTCTGTTTTTTTTTCCTTTGATACCATGGTTTTCGATTTGGTCTTTCGGTTTTTAATTCAGTATTTTTGCTTTCTAACGAAGCCATTCATTTTCTTGTGTAATGATAGCATTTTCAGTTGATATCTGATTTCGTTTGGCATTGATAAATTTGCAACTTTCAAACTCTCATATTTCTGGTCCATTTTTAAAAATATTCATATGACTGGAAAGAAAATAAAATAATCTTTCTAAATATGTAATTTGTATGTGCTTTTATTCATTGAATTATGTTTTTACAGAGAGTTATAATGGTATTTTGCTTCTGACAACCGAAAATGTGAAAAATATGTGTTTTTTGTTTGTTTTTTTTTAAACTAAATTTTATACATTATTCGGGCTTTGCTTTGCCAGTTGGTTTTTCATGGTTGAGAGATCAAAGCATGTCACATCTAATGACAGTATCTCCTAGGAACATTGTTCCCAAACTGTTATGGCAGAAGAGGATAGCAGGTGAGGCTGAATGATTGAAAGACAATCAAAAATTTAGAAACAGTTTGAAAAAGTTCATATGCCAAAAATAATTATGATTTCAAAATTTAGATTATTATGGATTATTTGTAATTGCATGTATGAGTCCCAGTATAAATAGTTATAAATAAATAATTATTGACATGATTTTTATCACGGTGATATTTTTGCATTATATCAAGTACTAGAATAGAGCCTAGTTGCCGGGTTCGGGATGTAACAGTAAGAGATAGATCAAGTATCACCATCATAAAGACTGAAAAATAAAATTGACAAAGATTATTGTTTAAGGTTGACGAACACGCATGTCTTAATTAGTTTTTTTAAATTTTTTTTTTTTTTTTTTTTTTAACTTGGTCAAACTCAAACAAAAACATTGTTTTCAATCGTTATGAGTTATGAGTCTATTGATTGAATAGAATTTTATTATAAACAATTGTCTTGTAAATGGAATTTTTAAAGCATTCTGAATGTAAAAATAAAGAAAAAGTGTGCAAGACAATAAGAAACAAAACCTGCCAAAAAAAGTGAAGTTTTGTTGAAATCGGTTGAAAAATGTAGGAAATCAGATCCATATATAAATTTACACACAAAACAACCTGGGTTTTATAATAAGTATAACTCGATATGAGTTGTCCCCCTTTCATTCTCGACAGATATTTCTTAATATATGTTTTCAAATTGATTTTTTGGAAAAACAATTGTTTTTTTTAATTTTTTTGTCAGAACCACCAAAAGGTAATTTTACATAGTCCTGTGAAGTTTTGTTGAAATCGGTTGAAAAAATGTAACAAATCCTTTTTCCAATATAAAAACGTACAGACACACACAACCTAGGTTTTTCATAATAAGTATGATATATATATATATATATATATATATATATATATATATATATATATGAAATAGTAAAAAATAACAAATATGTTGGTATATAATCCAAGTGGATCCCTATAATAAAAAATACTAAAACTGATCCACAAAGATAGCTCACTGTATTTATTATTACAGAGCAAATAATTAATAAACAATGTAATTCCAAGTCGCATCATGTGGGGAATAGCCTTTTTCAGCAGATGAAGATATTGGTTGTCTGTTTCTTGAAGGTGCATTATTTCTGATTGGCAGCTGGAACGATATTTCTGATCTCTTCATAGCTACCTCTTCAAAGGTATGAGATTTCGACAACCACAAACTAATTATCTGCATGGATCTAACGATTAATGCATGACTTTTTAAGACTTAACTTTTAGAACTGCACAGAAGACCTTTAAACAGTACAGGAGAATGTATTGTATCTAAGTGCAGCAAACGGACTGATCAATGAAATATCAGAAATAGAAATTTAACTGTAAAAGCTTTTAAAAAAAATAAACAGCTAAAAAAAACTAATAAAGAATTTATCCATTTCAATGTTTCAGTCAGACGTTCCTTTTGTCGTGGTCAGCCCAGGGTGGATCCTGGTTTGATCAATGGGGTAAACTCTTCGATCCTGACCTGCCTAAATTTCACTTTTTTGATTGATTTGATTATAAAATATCCATTGTTAAGATCATTTCTCCCACAGGTAAAACATGTTGGGCTTGTCCATGTTGAGTGAAGTTGTACAAAAAACTAGAGAGGAAAACAGCACTTGAAATATATATATAAAAAATAGTTACTATTTTTATATCAATTCTGCGTACAATGGTTTTTTAGTACTTGTGTTCACACACAGTTGTTTGTCGACCCAACCCGTTCCTAAAATTGGATGCAACACTTGGGTAAGCTGTTTTGGCTTGCAGAGTTAGTAAAATTTATTTTACTGATTTGGTAAGTTTGGTTCAAGGCTGAAGTCGGAGGTTCTTGTGTTTGGTAGGAGTTGTGGAATCTCTCAGCGACCTCAGCCACTTCCCTTCTCAGATCTCAACTGTCAACTCGCAACTGCAACTCTGAACTGACTCTGACTGTATAAATGGCTTTCGTGCATTCATTTTTATGGAGTCCAACTAGAAACTAGTGCATGGCAAGATGTAGGCTGGGTTTTGGTGAATCCCCCTGATTTCCAACAAAAATCTATTGTTTTTGGTCTTGAGAAATTAAATTAATTCATAACTTTGGGCAATTCTCCCTTTTTCCTGAGGGATGGTTACAGGCATCACTCTGCCTGGCTGCTTCTACTCTCTCTTATTAGCATTTCTCACCATTGCCTTCCAGTGGGTGTGAGCAGCTCCTTCAACCTCTTTAATGTCTCTTCTGTGCCTGCTGCCCTTTAGTGGGTGCAGGCAGCCCCTCATACTTCCTTGATTACTCTTCTGTGCCTGTCACCTCTAGCATTCAGTCGAAGATTAATTAAAAAAAAAATATGGTTTCAAATGCTCTTATCTCATAAGTAAATTGACACAACAATTAGATTTTCTCGCCTCTGACCCAAGAGACACTTTCCCAGAGGAATTTTTGCAACTCCCATTATGGTGACAATTTGTTCAGCCAAAGGTCACCATTCCACAGGTATTCAATTTATTGGTTTTCATTCCAACATCCTGCAAAATGAATACATTTAGTTTTGACCCAATTCTTCTCAGGTCAGATCTAGGCATTGGTTGCTGAAGGCTGTCAACACTTGACTTGTTTGCATAAACTGGGAATTGCTTTTAAGTGATCATCTGGTCTATTGTACAATATCTTACAATGTAAGATATCTCGATATCTGGAAACAATTTTATTATCAGTCTATCTTTCCTTATATTGTTTAACCCTTTTCATGCTAAGTTATTCATCATTATCTCATTTTCATTGATTTTTCCAAGTTGTTATTATTATTAATTACCAGCAACCCAAATAGTGTTACATATAAACATTATGAATACATACATACATACATATATATATATATATATATATATATATAATATGTTATATGTTATTTATATAGACACAAATATTTAAGTAAATTCTCTATTTATAATTAACAACATTTACCATCCAAGAAATTTTCATAGCAAACATGTGTCCTCCAACAGGAATTGAACCTGTATCCTATACGGAACCGTCATATAGTCTGATGTGCTATACCAGTTTATCTATGAAGGTCAGCAGATGCATATTTTCTATGAAATTTCTCAAACATTCAGTCCGGTAAATGTTGTTGAGGCATTAGGTTGTCTAGTCGCACTGAGGAGCAAAACAGTACTGTCTGCAAATGGCATACATATACACACACATACATATATATATATATATATATATATATATATATATATATATATATATATATCACTTTAAAAATTATTTTTAATGGATACTTGTATTATACTCCATGTATTTATTAAACAGTATGTATCTTTATTTTTGTCTACCAGCCTGAATGTTTTGGGAAATCTTATTGAAGAAAAATTTACACTCTCTGGCAAGATTTTTCCCTTTTTTACTCTCGGATTTTAACCAATATAAAATGTCACATTAAAAATTAAATAATAATTCATCCCAGAAATTTGAGCAGGAATCCCTTTCTTCTTTATCTCCATAGCCTTCATATCAACAAATGCTTGTTCTTGTATTCATATGATACTTATAAAATCCTTTCATGTCAACTAATGATCTTTGCTATATATATATATATATATATATATATATATATATATATATATATATGTGTGTGTGTGTTTAATGTGAATCATGCATGTGATAACTGTTTTTATTTTGATGTTTAATTTGCTTGTTCTTGTATTTATATGATGCTTGTAAAATCCTTTCATGTCAACTAATGATCTTTGCTATATATATATAATATATATGTATGTTTAATGTGAATCATGCATGTGATAACTGTTTTTTCATTTTGATGTTTTGCAGTTATCACAGCTGAGAGAGATTCACTGAGGAAAAGGCTGCATCTTGCAGAAAAGTCTGCAACAGATACATACAGATGTAACACCTGCAAAGACCCAGCACAAAACTTAGATACCAAGGTAAGTGCAATAAAACTGGTCAACACAATTTTTGGTGCCAAGTAACAAAACACATTTTTTAGCTAATTTGATGGTGCTGATTCCGAAAATGGCCTTAGTTTTTCATGGTTAGCTACCATTTTTGCTGTACTGAAATTGTTCATTTTTGTTAAAAAGATCAATTTACGATCTTAGGTGATCACAAAATTTAGTTAATAAAGGTCGTAGAAACCCATCAGTTTTCAGGTTGGCCGAACAATTTATGTCAGCCACCTGAAATAAACGAAGTTTTCCAATTTATTACCAAAATTCAAATTAACTGATAAACTTTATCAGTAATACACTTTAGTAAACCTGATAAGGTGACATCAAAAAAATGAAACCCTAAAATCTTCTGTTTGTGTTATAGTGGAACACACCTATTCTATAGTTAATAGACTCTCCCACCTATAATAAGTAGGAGTAGTAAGAGTAACGAGTGGGTCACTCAGGGGGTCGGTCAGTCAGTCGATGTCGGATGACCGTTAGTCGGATACTAAAGTATCAGTGACCACAACTAGATTACTCTGCGTCATTACCTATTATATCAAGTTCCTAACGTTTTGTACATTGAACATTGAACCTATTTTAGGACCGACTTAGTACAAATACAAGCCTCCACTGTGAAATCACTTCATAACAGTTTGATATTCATAAATTTATTCCATCACTTTTATCCCTTCACTACAGAAGGAAGCCAAGCACATTGAAAGCATTTCATTTTCACAGTTGGAAAGAAACTCCAACTAAAGACATTCCAATTGAATACACCTATTCCATTGTACATGATACTGCTGGAGTATCAAAAGGGACTTAAATAACATTGAACATAACAGACAATCAATAGAAAATTTTTACCATAGTTCTTATATTTACAAAGGTTTTATTTCTGCTGTTAGTTTATTAAATAATTTGATGAAAATACTTGTTGGTCTTGGTATATTCAATCGTGTTATTTTTAAAGACTTAGAGTCTTATTGCAAAAATAGTCTTTCTCAATAAGCACACCAATATTTGTCGGTTTAAATATGAATTGAGAGGTTTATACAATTTTATTTTGAGAAATATTGCCATCGGTCAATATCATATATACAAAAAACAAATGAAAAAATGATTTTTTTCAAAAAATGAGGCATTTCTGTACAGCAAAAACAGTAGCTAATCAAGAAAAAGTAAGGTCATTTTCAGATTCAGCACCCTCAAATTAGCTAAAAAAGATGTTTGGTGTCTCAACACCATTTCAAAAAAATAGATAAAAAGTGTATAGCAAAGTGACTAAGCATTAACTGGTTTATAAAAAGGTAATTAATAAATAAATTAAATTTTCAAGATCATCATTAATGGGGGGGCCGAATTTTCTTAGGTAAAATTTTGTCTGAATAGAATAAAGATTTAAAGCAGAAAATATTATTTTAATTTGCTTAAGTCCTTAATCTATATTACTCATAGAAGCAATTAAAAACTTCTCTAATTAATGTCATAGTTTTATTGTATTCTTTATTTTATTCTTTATTTTTTTAAGAGGAAAGATCAAAGTACTTTTTGAATATTTAATAAAAATTTTTAATCCTTTTTAGAACATTCGAAATTTTGATCAAATTTTTCTTTTTCTTTCCATTCTTGTATACTCTAAATTCATCCACATATCAAGCACTAAAACTCATTAAAAAAAAACCCATTAATATTGGGACTGTTTTGTTTTCTTTCAGAGTCCACAAAAATCACCTGCTGCTTCTGCCAAAGAAAAGAAAGAAGTGGTTTTCAGCGATTCAACTTCTTCAGATGACCAGGTAAGATTTTTGACTGTTGTTCCTTTGCATCTGAGGCATTTTGCGTTTTTTTTTTTATCTGCTGACATGAAAGGCAAACCCATTAAACACAAACTCTGCTTCTCGTAACAGATTTTTGCATAGACACAATTACAAAGAATGCATCAGCCTTCTTCAGGTGCTTGTTGACCCAGGTGACCCTCAGGGAATTTTGAACTGAACCATTTATCTAGTTCAGGCATGGGCAACCTTTTTGCAACCAGTGGGCCGCATAGGATATGGCTCAACATAAGGCAGACTGCACTATTAAAAGTTTCAATATAATTTTTCATGGCGCAATCCTTTTCACTATAGAGGAGAATTCACATGTCTTACAGTGTGATTAGCACACAATACTTCATGTGAAAATACAAAAAATTACATTTTAAAATAAAAAATATATTTCTTCAAATAAAAAATGAGTGTTTTTTGTTTCTAAAGTAAAAGATATTTGCACATCTGATCTCCACTAGTGAAAATCGTTTATAATGATGACAATATTACATTCAATGGAAGTTTAAAAATTCAAGAAACATTGCGCTTAATCATTGTTTATATGATTATGCATGAGAGTGTGTGTGAGTGAACAAGTGAGAATGAGACAAAATTTAAGAAATGTTATTTTCCTCATAGAATTAGGCGAGCTATTCAGAAAGCCAATCAGGCCAAATGTAGTTCATGACTGATCTATTCTATGGGGATAGAGTGTTCTAATTTTCTATGTCTAGGGATATCTCGTCTAGTTCTTATTTTTAGTATTGCTCATATATTGCTCGCCCTTTTTCCATTGAGTCCAAGTATACAATGCCCAGCCCAGGGATTGAACTGAACCCTTTATTTCATCTATGGGAGTAGACTGTTCTCATTCCGCTGCCCATGTCTAGGGATATCTCGTCTAGTTCTTATTTTTAGTACTGCTCATATATTGCTCACCCTTTTTCCATTGAGTTCAAGTATACAATGCCCAGCCCAGGGATTGAACTGAATCCTTTATTTAATCTATGGGAGTAGACTGTTCTCATTCCACTGCCCATGTCTAGGGATATTTCGTCTAGTTCTTATTTTTAGTACTGCTCATATATTGCTCGCCCTTTTTCCATTGAGTCCAAGTATACAATGCCCAGCCCAGGGATTGAACTGAACCCTTTATTTCATCTATGGGAGTAGACTGTTCTCATTCCGCTGCCCATGTCTAGGGATATCTCGTCTAGTTCTTATTTTTAGTACTGCTCATATATTGCTCACCCTTTTTCCATTGAGTTCAAGTATACAATGCCCAGCCCAGGGATTGAACTGAATCCTTTATTTCATCTATGGGAGTAGACTGTTCTCATTCCGCTGCCCATGTCTAGGGATATCTCGTCTAGTTCTTATTTTTAGTACTGCTCATATATTGCTCACCCTTTTTCCATTGAGTTCAAGTATACAATGCCCAGCCCAGGGATTGAACTGAATCCTTTATTTAATCTATGGGAGTAGACTGTTCTCATTCCACTGCCCATGTCTAGGGATATCTCGTCTAGTTCTTATTTTTAGTACTTCTCATATATTGCTCACCCTTTTTCCATTGAGTTCAAGTATACAATGCCCAGCCCAGGGATTGAACTGAACCCTTTATTTAATCTATGGGAGTAGACTGTTCTCATTCCGCTGCCCATGTCTAGGGATATCTCGTCTAGTTCTTATTTTTAGTACTGCTCATATATTGCTCACCCTTTTTCCATTGAGTTCAAGTATACAATGCCCAGCCCAGGGATTGAACTGAACCCTTTATTTAATCTATGGGAGTAGACTGTTCTCATTCCACTGCCCATGTCTAGGGATATCTCGTCTAGTTCTTATTTTTAGTACTGCTCATATATTGCTCGCCCTTTTTCCATTGAGTCCAAGTATACAATGCCCAGCCCAGGGATTGATGGCACTGGTTTGTAAATTTGGTGACATAGTAATTGTGAGTTCAATCCCAGGTCTGGGTAGAGTGTACTTGGTCACAATGGAAACAGGCAAAGCAATAATTACTAAATAAGAACTAGACAAGATATCACGACACATGATTAGTGAAATAATAATTAAATTAAGGGTTCCATTCAGAATTCCATGTAGATTACCCTGATCTAAATAATGATAACTCCTCGTCTCACAAATTCAGGCAGAAAGAAATCTGTCCTTGTCCCAAGCAACTCCAGCGATATATTACAAACTTTCTTAAAAAGTATAGATTAATAAATAGATTAGTTTGAATGAACACTGTTTTGCATTGTACTGGTCAGGAAAGTATTCTCTTGGGAGTTGTATTTTTGCACATCATCTTGCAAAATGTCCATCCTGCAATTTTTCTTTTCTTTTTTTTTTTTTTCTATAATAAAAACCATTTTTGCTATCGTTTTCTGATTCTAAGTGTAAGTGTCCTTTTTGTTTCAATTTTCTCTAAAACTCTGTCATTGCTCACATGTTCAGTCCATGGCATTCTCAGCATCCTTCTGTAGAACCAGGTCTGTAATCTCAAGTCTCTTCTTCAATGGGTTAAGTTCTCCGGGTCTTTTTTCATAATTATATGGACCGGCAGAATTTTACCCTCACAGGCTATATGAACGCAGAGAAGCATGAGTATACAGCAAGTAACATACTTAATAAGGACAGGAAGTTGTGGAGAGCCATGATCACCCACGTCTTGAAGAGATTTGGCACATAAAGGAATTGAATGGATGGCAGAACAAGGATGGACAAGGCAAGGTAAAGTGTCAAAGGTCACTGAGCACAACAAAAGACAGGAAGTTGTGGAAAGCCATGATCAACGATATCTTGAAGAGACTTGGCACATAAAGGAATTGGATGGATGGCAGAACAAGGATGGACAAGGCAAGGTAAAGTGTCAAAGGTCACTGAGCACAACAAAAGTCAGGAAGTTGTGGAAAGCCATGATCAACAATATCTTGAAGAGACTTGGCACTCAATTTATCATAAAGATTGGCTCACTTCTAATTTAACATCAGAAGAAGACTGGTTGGGATAAAAAAAAAGATGAGAGGAAAAGCAACAAAAAGGAATTGGTTAAAACTAATATGGAAAACATTTGTAATAAGGAAAATTGTTTATCTTGGAAATAGGGCAAAATTAAAAAATAATACCACCATAGAAAGAAGATTGGTTCGTCTAAGAAAAAGTGAAACTGTAAATTGCAATTAAAGGAACATATTTTACCTAACAAAAGGTATTACAACTAACAACTGAAGTAGATTATTCTGGCTAACAACGGCTGAAAGGAAATATTTTCATTAAGAGTAGTATTACAAGTGAGGGTGAATATTCTGGCTAACAAAAGTTATTACAACTAACAGCTGATGGACAATATTCAGGCTAACGAAAGTTATTACAACTAACAGCTGATGGACAATATTCAGGCTAACAAAAGTTATTACAACTAACAGCTGATGGACAATATTCAGGCTAACGAAAGTTATTACAACTAACAGCTGATGGACAATATTCAGGCTAACGAAAGTTATTACAACTAACAGCTGATGGACAATATTCAGGCTAACGAAAGTTATTACAACTAACAGCTGATGGACAATATTCAGGCTAACGAAAATTTATTACAACTAACAGCTGATGGACAATATTCAGGCTAACGAAAGTTATTACAACTAACAGCTGATGGACAATATTCAGGCTAACGAAAGTTATTACAACTAACAGCTGATGAACAATATTCAGGCTAACGAAAGTTATTACAACTAACAGCTGATGAACAATATTCAGGCTAACGAAATGTATTACAAGCTATTACAACTGACAGCTAAAGGTAAATATTCTGGCCAATGAAAGGTATTACAACAGCTGATGGACAATATTCTGGCTAAAGAAAGGCATTAAAACTAACAGCTGATAAACAATACTATGGGTAATGAAAGTTGTTACGACTAACAGCTGATGGACAATATTCAGGCTAAGGAAAGGTAATGCAACTAACAGCTGATGGACAATATTCAAGCTAATGAAATGTATTACAACGGCTGATGGACAATATTCAAGCTAATGAAATGTATTACAACAGCTAATGGACAATATTCTGTCTAATGAAAGATATTACAACTAACAATAGACAATATTTTGGCTAACAAAAGGTATTACACCTAACAACTGATAGACAATATTTTGGCTAACAAAAGGTATTACAACTAACAGCTAATGGACAATATTCTGGCTAATGAAAGGTATTACAACTAACAGCTGATAGACAATATTTTGGCTAACGAAAGGTATTACAACTAACAGCTGATAGACAATATTTTGGCTAACGAAAGGTTTTACAACTAACAGCTAATGGACAATATTCTGGCTAATGAAAGGTATTATAATTGACAGCTGAAGGGAAATATTTTCATTAAGATGCTGTATTACAAGTGAGTGTGAATATTTTTGCTCTTGAATGTTATTTCACCTAACAGTTGAAGGAGAATTTTCTGGCTAACAAAAGGTATCACAAATAACGGCTGAAGCAGTTAAGAAGCAGTATTCCAAGTGAGGGTGAATATTTTTGCTAAAAAAATTCTGAATTTAGCAGCAAATGAAGAATGGATCTGCTTAACTCTTTTGATAAAAAGTACGATAAACACTTTCGCAAAAATGTTTAATAATGAATTTAATGCATGTCTTTTTATTTTCTAAAACTTGCTACTTGACCTGTGGTCAGTATTGGCGCCAGCAGAAATCACTAGTGGTGGAAAGCATAAACAAAATGACCAGCAACCGAAGACTTGACCCTGAATCCTCCTCTCCTAAACCTCTTGTCATATCTCCTGCATGTGAAGCTCGTAGGGTGAAACGTACTTCTGAACCACATCCTGAGACAAGCTCTTGTACCAGGAAGAAAGTAAGTCCTGCATGGGTGTGTAGTGTGTGCATATGAGTGATTTGTGCATTTGTAAATGTCTGTCACTTATCTGATGACAATCCGTGCGTTTATAAATGTCTCTGTTATCTGATGACATTCCATGCGTTTGTAAATTTCTCTCATCTTATGACAATCTGTGCATTTGTGAAT